TCAGGTTGTCTAACTTTTTCACGCAGACTTTTCAGCACTTCCAAATAGTAAACTTGGTTAACTGTTTGTCCAGTTGGTACAAATTCATAATGAATAATCCTTCTGATATCAAAAAAAGTTAGCAACATTGTTGCAACAAGTTTGCAAACTTAATTGTCAGACCTTGTACTGTAGAATTGTACACTTACAACCTAGGTAATTTTACTAACTATTGTCACCTCAACAAATTTAATTATAAAAAAGAAAAAGAAAAAAGAAACGTCCAAGCTGTAAACTTTTTGTAAAAATTTATTTGAGCCAACTGATGACAAATGCTGGGGAGCAAGATCTCAAATACTCCAAAGATTAACAGTTTTGCAGCTTCTTTTATGCATTTGAAATTAAGGAGGGAAGGAAAGAAAGATTACATGGAGGTTGAAGAAAAGCAAGGCAGGGACTGGAATACAGGATAGTTAATAAGATTATGTGCTCTCTTGAGGGTGGTTATGCCTATTTCAAGAGTGTGTTAACCTAGATGCACAGAAACAAGGAAGGGCTTACTTAAGGCAAAAATAAACCTTTTACTAAAGAAGATACATGCCTGGGGCGTGACTACCCACCATGACCTGCCCAGTTAGGAATTTAAAATCAGATCAGCCTGTGAGGCTACTTTTCCTACAACACCTTTTTTCATCCACACAATAAAATGAGGCATACCTATATACCAAAGTTCTGACAATTCAGCTTGGGAACTTGTTGCAACAATGTTGCTAACCTTTTTTGATATCAGAGGGATTATTCATTATGAATTTGTACCAACTGGACAGTTAACCAAGTTTACTATTTGGAAGTGCTGAAAAGGCTGCATGAAAAAGTTAGATGACCTGAACTTTTTGCCAATTCATGGCTCTTGCATCACGACAATGCCTGTAAGGGAGTTTTTAGCCAGTAAACAAATAATTGTATTGAAATACCCTCCCTACTCACCTGATCTGGCCCTAATGACTTCTTCCTTTATCCAAAGATAAAGGAAATATTGAAAGGAAGACATTTTGATGACATTCTGGACATCAAGGCTAATACGACAACAGCTCTGATGGCCATTCCAGGAAAAGAGTTCCAAAATTGCTTTGAAGAGTGGACTAGACGCTGACATCGGTGCATAGCTTTCGAAGGGGAAGGGGAGTACTTCAAAGGTGACCGTAGTGATATTCAACAATGAGGTATGTAGCACTTTTTCTAGGATGAGTTCGTGAACTTAATTGTCATAGCTTGTACTGTACGATTCTATTCATAAGAAATATCTAGAATACACAAAACCATTGAGGCAGAAAGCCAATTAGTAGTTACTAGGACTGGGAAAAGAGTGAAGAATGAAGAGTTGACTATGAATTGTTCTAGGGTTTCCTTTTTGTGTGATGACAATGTTCTGGAACTAGACAGTAGTAATAATTACACAACACTGTACTTGTGCTAAATGCCACTGGACTGCACACTTAAAAAGGTTAAAATGTGGGCCGGCCGAGTGGCGCGTTGGTTAAGAGATGGCTTGGGACACCAGCTCTGAGCAGCAGGGCCCCGGTTCGGATCCCACATGAGGGACAATGACACTGCCCTCTACATCTAAGATGGTAAACAACAGCTCGACCTGGAACTAGGTTGCCGTGAATTGCCGGCGATGGCATAGGCTGCAGCCCCTGCTGCAGTGGGCTGCCATAAGCTACCATGTATGGCTGGCAGCCAGCGTGAGCCGTCAAGAGCCGCCGTGAGCGGCCGTCCAGAGGCTGTCGACCGATCTGCCTCACCCGGGAAGAGTGCAATGATAATACCAACATGGGCCAGTGAAGCAACGTCCTCCACAACTAGACTGAAGAACAAAAGAACAGCAACTTGTCTGTTCCCCTTCCCCCAATTCCCCAGCACTGTTCCCCTCCCCCAATTCCCCAATAAAATCTTAAAAACAAAAAAAAAGGTTAAAATGGTGAATTTTATGTTATGGACATTTTATCACAATAAAAAAAAACATTTATAATTTAAATATAAATCAAACCAATAAAATTCAAAAATCACATTAATTTGGGCCAGCTGAGTAACTCAGTTGGTTAAGAGTTAGCTTAAGAGCGTGAGCTCTGAGCAACAGGGCCGCCGGTTCGATTCCCACATGGGCCAGTGACACTGGACCCGAGCTGAGCTGCCCCTGATCTGCCAACAGGTGGCAGGATGGCTCAGCTGGTGAGAGCACATGCTCCTAACAACAAGGTTGTCTGTCCGATGGTGGGTCACACCTGTCCGCAACTAAAACAACTTAGCACCTTGAGCTGAGCTGCCGCCCAGATGGCTCAGTGGATAGAGCATGCACTCTTAATAACAAGGCTGCTGGTTCGACTCCCACATGGGATGGTGGCTACAGCCCACCCACAACTAAGATTGTAGCACAGCACCTTGAGCTTAGAGGCCACGAGCTACCAAACGGCAGCCAGATGGCAACTGGCGCCCTCCACAACTAAGACTGAAGAACAGCAACTTGGCTGGTACCCCTCCTCAATTCCCCAATACTGTTCCCCTCCCCCAATTCCCCAATTAAAAACAAACAAAAAATCACATTAATTTAACATGATAGTGATAACTTACTGAAATTAAACTGTTCATTACAATGTAAATATGGTACCAACGTATTCTTTTGTTGGTATAGGTTCTTTTGTGTTCAACAAGCTTGTTCTCCAATAGCGCATATGATGGCTCTATTTGAATATACAAAACCTTGATTTGGTAGTATTCCATTTACACATTCTGTCCACACTTATTGTTATTTACAGACATAAAATATTACAATAATACTCAATTATAAGGTGACATCCAAAAGATCCAGCATATGCTGATATACTTTTACTTATATCATTTAAAAGAAAACACATATGAGGCAAAATGTTAGTAACTATTGAATTTGGGATAACTGGATTATTCTCTTAACTTCTCTATATATGGGAAATTTTTCAAAATGAAAAAGTGATTGGGAAAATGAGGATATATTTTAACTGGGACATATAGACTTGGAACTCGCTTCAAGGTGAATTAGCTCTAGGGCTGAAAGAATATCAAAAGGGGAGTATATACTATATAGGTCTTTCATCTTGATACTTTTCAATATACAACATCCCTCTCCAGCAATCACCACAAAAAGCAAAATGCTTCTTACAATGCTCTTTTCTCCAGTTAGCCTCTCTCTGAATGAGAGGCAGGAAGGCATCAGGTGGTTGGCACAGGTTTCTCAGTCCAATGAATGTACTACATCAGAGAAGGATTAAGGGTTGAATAAATTAATTCCATCTTCAATTTATCTTAACTCTTAATTCTCTTCTTATATTTAACAGGGAAGAGAATGAGAAACTATAGTAGAACACAAATAATGTTCCAAATCAGTAACACGAAATATATTATAGTGTAGTCTAAATATCATCCTCTGGTGACGAAATTAGCTGCCATGATAGGAAAAAAAATGGGCTGGACAGGAGAGAAGAAAGCCTGGAAAAATAGGATATTCAACTAACAAAAGCAGAAGGAAGAAATAAGGAAGGGAAGATGGACAAAAATAAAGAGAGAGCAAATCAGTGAAACAGAGCAGCAGCTAAACTGCTATGCCCAGAGCAGAGACATCTCTAGGGATCTCACTGAATTGATACCAGCTCCAAAAGTCCTTCCCAATTTTGTCCTGATACTAGTCACAGCTTTTGAAAATAAATTATACTAAGTATCCTGGCCAGTTGGGAAAACACAGAATTCCTTTCTGCTTCAACAAGAGATGAACCCAATTATAGGTCAAATTAATTAATCATCACAAAGTTCAATAACTTCCTTCAAAAGGGTGAGCGCTTACAGCACTTTGTTGATTTGCTTGATATCTTAAGGATGGCAGTTACTATTCTATAGACCAGCAGATGGGGCTCTCTCCCTTAATGTGTTTATTTAACCAAAAAATAAATAAAATGCAATTTGGAAAAATGTAGTCGTAATGTTTCCTTTCACAAGGCCAAATAAACATCTGTGAACAATCCTAGTTATTTTTTTAATTACCTGAAAACTACCAATTACAAACACAAAAAAACTATAATCATTATTTTAACTCAATTCAACAAAGAGAGGAGGGAACATTTGTTAAATGTTTGGTTTTCCTGCAATTATATACCTTCATAATTCAAAGCTAACTGATTTGAAGTTATTCCATGGACTATAATGAATTAACAATTTTACTCATTTCAATTTCACCTCTCCAATTTTAGTACTATTAATAGCTTTTTTTAAAAAAATATTTTATTGAGGAATTGGGGAAAGGGGAACAGACAAGTTGCTGTCCTTTTTGTTCTTCAGTTTATCTGTGGAGGACGTCGCTTCACTGGCCCATGTTGATATTATCATTGCACTCTTCCTGGATGAGGCAGTCGCTCACCGGCCATTGGACAGCTGCTCACCGCAGCTCATGGCAGCTCACGAAAGCGCACGCCAGCTGTTGGTCAGCCCCACTGCAGCCTACACCATCGCCAGCGACTCAGGGCAGCCCAGTTCCAGGTCGAGCTGTTGTTTACCATCTTAGCTGTAGAGGGTGCAGCGTCACCGGCCCATGTGGGATCCAAACCGGTGGCCCTGCTGCTCAGAGCTCACACTCCCAAATCAACTCTTAACCAACACGCCACTCAGCCGGCCCTATTAATAGTTGTTTAGAAATTTTTTTTTCAAATCTTTACACACATTTTGGTACTTGGGGAAAATACCATATTTGACCAATAAGTTTACAATGAAGTCTTAGACATACATCTATTATAAAATACAAGATTTGAATTACAAGGCTATTAATCCAATCATTAAAGATAAATTATGACAAAAAAATCTGAATTGTCAGAAATCTAGTGGTAATATATCAATAACTTTCGAATATAATAAACATATTCATTGTTATAATCAACTTAAGTAATACTGTATTAAAACTGGTCAAGTATAAACCCTATCAATAAAAAGTACAATCTTACCTGTATGATGTAGGTCTAATGTAGTCATTGCAGATGCTTCAAAATAATCTTTTCCCTTGTAATTATCCCTGTGATTAATTTCTCTAGCACTTTCTTCAGCAGGTAGAATACTTAAACTGCATAATTTGGGATCAGTTTGTGACTGAAGAAAAGTATTCTTATTTGCAGCAACCTAAAAGGATAAAATATGTATTTTATGCAAAAATTCAATCTAATTTTCCATATTTTTACATAATAGATTCCTAATTTAAAATATGAGCTACCAGTTTCTCTATATCTAAACAGAAGAGATATTTTTAAATAAATTAAAAATCCAATTTTTATTATTTTTAAAATTAGTTTTAATTGTCGTAAAAGCTAAAAGACATAACAGAATTAAAATTGTGCTTAATTAGGGCCGGCCGAGTGGCTCAGTTGGTTAAGAGCTCGCTCAAGAGTTTCAGCTCTGAGCAACAGCGGTTCGAGTCCAGCCCGAGCTGAGCAGCCGCTGAGCTGCCAACAGGTAGGATGGCTCAGCTAAAAAAATAAATAAATAAAGCAACACTGGTCATGAGCTGACAATTGTTGGAACTAGGTAATGGATACATGGGAGTTCTTCATATATATATATACTGGTTTCTCTATTTTTGCATGTGTTAGTTTTCTGTTGCTGCTGTAACAAATTACCACAAACTTAATGGCTTAAAACAATGCAATTTTACCGTTTTATGATTCTGTAAGTAGAACTCTAACTTGAGTCTTACTGAGCTAAAATCAAAGTTATCATCAGGGCTATATTCCTTTCTGAAAGCTCTAAGGGAGAATACATTTCCTTGTCTTTTCAAGCTTCTAAAAACCACCCACATTCCTTTGGCTTGTGGCCCCTTTATCCACTTCAAATCCAGCTATGTTGCATCTCTCTGACCTATCTTCCATAATCACATCTTTCTCTAACCCTCTCTTTTGTCTCCCTCTTCTGCTTTTAAGGACATTTATGATTGTATTGGGCCCACCCAGATAATCCTGGATAACCTCCCCATCTCGAAGTCCTTAAAATCAATCATTTAATCAAAGTTCCTTTTGCCATGTGAAATAACATATTCACAGGTTCCAAGGACTAGGATATGGACATTTCTAGAGGGCCATTTTTCTGCCTACCACAGCATATTAGAATTTTTTAAAAATATAATTCACAATGGACACAGCTGTCATACCTCTATAAATATTCATTATAAGAAATTTCAGAGATATTTAAAAAAAACCATCTGGTAAGATTATAAAGTAAGTCATAATAATAAACTAATGGAGATGATAAATTTTATTTTTTGCAACATTTTATTTTGAGATACATCCAAAGTTATAGAAACATTCCAAAAATAACTCCCACAGACCTTTTACCTAGATTCACCATTTGATTACATTTTGTTGCATTTAATTTGCCCTCTTTCCCTCCCTTGTGTGTGTGTGTGTGTATATGTATGTCTGTGTGTGTGTACACATTTCAGAATAAGCTGCAGGCACTGGCTCCTTTCCCTCTAAATATTTCAGTATATTCCAAAGAGCAAAGACACCCCCTTTGATAATCACAGTAAAATTATCAAATTCAAGAATTTAACACTTGTATAATACTATTATCTAATCCACAGTCCATATTCAAATATAGTCACTTATCCCTAAAATGTCTTTTATAGTTTTTTCCGAGTCAGGATCCAATCTCAGGTCATACATTACACTTAGTCATCATGTTTCTTTAGTTTCCTTTAATCTAGAATAGCTCCTCAATCTTTATTCATGTTTTGTGACTTTGACATTTTTGAAGAATACAGGCCAACTATTTTGTACAATGTCCCATAATTTGGGTTTTCTGATGTTTCCTTATGATTAGTTTCAGGTTACACATTTTGAACAGGAATATCAGTGTTCATCACATTGGGAAGTACATAATATGGATTTGTCCCATTACTGGAGGTATTCCTTTGATTGAGGTGGTGTCTGTCAGGTCTCCCTGCAAAGTTAATATTTGCCTCTTTATAATTTTTTTTAAAGATTTTATTGGAGAATTGGGGAAGGGGAACAGTGTTGGGGAATTGGGGAAAAGGAACAGCCAAATTGTTGTCCTTCAATCTTAGTTGTGGAGGGCGCAGCTCAGCTTCAAGTCCAGTCACAATCCAGCCACCCATTGACAGCTTACAGCTGCTCAGCTCAAAGTGCCCTGTTCAATCTTAGTTGCGGGTGGGCATAGCCCACCATCCCAGCAGGAGTTGAACAGGCAACCTTGTTGTTAGGGGCATGTGCTCTCACCAGCTGAGCCATTCTGCCACCTATTGGCAGCTCAACAGCAACTCAGCTCAGGCACAGCTTACTGGCCTATGTGGGAATCAAACCAGTGACCCTGTTGCTCAGAGCTCGCGCTCCTAACCAACTAAGCCACTTGGCCGGCCCCACCCCTTTATAATTTTTTAAAGTATGTTGTTAGGAGATGCTTGAGTCTATTCAAATACCCTACCCCCTGATCAAACATTCACCTACTACTTTTGGCATCCATCTAACACCATCATTACTTCTATTTTTATGATTTAGCATTCCATTCCAAGAAGAAGTTACTCTTCTCTTTTATTTAGTTAGTATGGATTCAGAGTCCTATATTATTTAATCGGTTATTATCCATCGGTATAATTATTCTGATGCTCAATTTGCTCCAGACTTTCTATGTACCAGAACAACTGAGCAGAAAAACCCTAAAGTCACCAAAATAATACTTTCTTAGTATGAATTAATTCAATCTAAGAAGAAAAATAGTTTAAGGACAAAAATTTAAGACTATAACAGACAAAGTAGGGACCGGCCAAGTGCTTCAGTTGGTTAAGAGCACAAGCTCCAAGCAAGAGTCGCCAGTTCAATTCTCACATGGGCCAGTGAGCTGCACCTGAGCTGCTGAGCTGCCAACAGGTGGCAGGATGGCTCAGCTGGTGAGAGCACATGCTCCTAACAACAAGGTTTCCAGTTTGACTCCCGCATGGGATGGTGGGCTATGCCCACCCGCAACTAAGATTGAACACAGCACCTTAAGCTGAGCGGCCTTGAGCTGCCGAAGGGCGGCCAGATGGCGAATGGACTTGGAGCTGAGCTAGCTGCGCCCTCTACAACTAAGATTGAAGGACAACAACTTGACACTGTTTGTCCCACCCTGGTGATTTCCTGAGACTCACCCCACCCAACCAAGCTACTTCCAGTGGCTTTCCCATACAAATGGCCTGTCTTGGCTCATGCTGCTGACTTTCGTAAAACCTCTCAAAGGTTCACAAACCCCAAACAAGCAGAATCTGGCCTCAATGTCACCTGTAGAACTTGCTGAGCAGCCACGAACCCAGCAATAACCGCAGTTGGAGTCTGTTCGCAGCTTAGCCTCTCCCAGGCACCTCCAAGCCCAGCACAAGGCAACCATGTACAAATTACTCTGTAGGTCATACCAATTGGCCATAGGCAGGGCACAGGCAGCAGCTGACCTTGATATGCAACAGACTCCCTCCCAAGAGTCCCCAGAACCAACACACCAGACCACACCAGAACACCACCCAAAGGGCAGACACCAGAGCCCTGCTAAAGCAAATCCTGCTCCTCCACTATCTTCACAGCCAGTCCTGACAATCAATCAGCCTGAAGGTCAAACCCTCCCACTGACATGCAAACAGTAACCAAAACTCAACTACAACAGGAGGGCACACACAACCCACACAAGGGACACACCTGGAGAACCTGGCTCAGATGAGCAGGGAGGCTGTGCCCCTCGGGCCCCCAGGACACTCTATTAAGACAGGAAGACATAATAGCTCTATCTAATACATAGAAACAAACACAGGGAGGCAGCCAAATGGGGAGACAAAAACATGTCCAAATGAAAGAACAAAACAAAGCTCTAGAAAAAGAACTAAACAAAATGGAGACAAGCAATCTACCAGATGCAGAGTTCAAAACACTGGTTTTCAGAATGCTCAATGATCTCAGGGAGAACTTCAACAAAGAGATCAGAAACATAAAAATGGAGACGAAAACATGAAGAAGAACCAGTCAGAAATGAAAGATACAATTATTTAAATGAAGAATACATTAGGGGAAATCAACAGTAGATTAGATCAAGCAGAGGTTCAAATCCGCAATTAGGAAGATAACATAGCAGAAAACACCTAATCAGAACAAAAAAAACAAAAAAAATAATCCAAAAAAATGAGGATAGTTTAAGGGATCTCTGGGACAACATCAAGCATACCAACATTCACATCATAGGGATACCAGAAGAAGAGAGAGAGCAAGGAATTGAAAACCTATTTGAAGAAATAATGGTGGAAAACTTCCCTACCCTGGCAAAGGAAACAGATGTACAAGCCCAGGAAGCACAGAGTCCCAAACAAGATGAATCCAAAGAGGCCCACACCAAGACACATCATAATTTAAATGCCAAAGTTTAAAGACAATGAAAGAATCTTAAAAGCAGCAAGAGAAAAGCTGTTAGTTACCTGTAAGGGAGCTCCCATAAGACTGTATGCTGATTTCTCAACAGAAACTTTGTAGGCCAGAAGGAATTGGCACAAAATATTCAAAGAGATTAAAAGCAGGGACCTACAACCAAGATTACTCTACCCAGCAGAGCTATCATTTAGAATTGAAGGATAGATAAAGAGCTTCCCAGGCAAGAAAACGCTAAAGGAACTCATCACCACAAAACCAGTATTACAAAAAAATTTAAAGGACTTCTTTAAGAAGAAACAAAGAAACATCAAAAACATGAATAATAAAATGTCATTAGCTACATATCTATCAACAATTATTTTACATGATAATGGATTAAATGCTCAAATCAAAAGACGTAGGGTGGCTGAATGGATAAAAAAACAAGACCCTTACACATGCTGCCTACAAGAGACTTATTCAGATCCAAATAGACATACGGGCTGAAAGTAAAGGGATGGAAAAAGGCATTCATGCAAATAAAAATAAAAAATTAAAAAAGCTGGGGTAGCAATACTTAATCTAGACAAAATAAATTCTAAAACAAAGGCTATCACAAGAGAAAGCAGGGCCCAGTAATCCCACTTCTGAATATTTATTCGAAGAAACCAAACAGTACTTCGAAGGGACATTTACATCCATATGTTCATTGCAGCATTATTTACAACAGCCAAGATATGGAGGCAA